AAGCACTAAGCGTAATCCCTCTCAAAGACTGAAAGTGTTACATTCACTTGAGATCCATTATAAGAGGGGTTCTGAGTACTTAATGGTTTAATATGCCAGTCTGGTACTAAAGAGACCAGCACCCAGCAAAGCATGTTGTTGCACAGTGCTTTAATCAGTCCCATCTACAAGGAATATTTCAGGTTTCTCATCTTTCAAATTTTTAGCTGTAAACAAACTAACAGTATTTTTTTAAACTTTGCACCAGGGATGCACAAATGACAAACAAATAAATAAAAATAGAGTCGAAATAGAGTTAATTATGAGATAAAAAAGTAAAATTATGAAAAGAAAATCATAATTTTGACTTTGTCAAAGTCATAATTACGAGATAAAAATAAAAAATTATGATTAAAAAAAATCATAATTATGACAAATTATGAGACGCAAAGTTACAATTATGAGCTAAACGTATACTAAATAATGACTAAATAAATCATAATTACGACACAAGTCAAAATTATGAGATACTAAGTCAAACTTATGTCATGATTATTACAAAGTTCTATGACAACAAATAAATATGAGATTAAATATAGAAATTATATCAAAAATGATCATGATTTCATCATGAAAAAATAGTCAAAATTCTGAGATAAAAAGTCAAATTTTCGACTTTGTCATAATATGACTTTATCTTTTGTTATTCTTCTATTCCTAACATTTAAATACGCTCAGTAGAGCTTAACTTGTATATAACCATGAATATTCCTTCAAGATCACACCAACATGTGTGTTAACCATCATGCAAAGCCTTTGAACAGCCATACCATACACCTACAGTTTTGAAACAACCCACATGAGAAAGTTTAGTGCTTAACTCTACAGTGTGCTCTTGTCCAGCTTCAGTCTCTCAGCTGAATACACTGTTGTTTGGCACAGCGACTGAAGGGCAGGCTCTCCACTCATGGATGGGCTCTGTCACAGCAGGAGGGACAGCAGTCTAGATTTATTATTCAAGATAATTGAGCTCTTATGAAAGCCGATGCTGACCTAAATTAATTTGGCTGGTTAAAATTTAAATGGCCTCTACCACTGCCAGCCTCTGTGATCACAATAGGTCAAGAGCAAAGGCGAAGCCAATTTTTACTGGGCACTGAATGGAGGAGCTGGAAAATTGGTTGCGCCAAGCTGATGCATACAATAGCGCTTGCCATTTTACTCGAAAGACTTGGGCAATCTGCCATGGTTGTACAGTTGTCTTCCAGTATTACATTATGTCATGCACTAGTTCTGCATATTTTCATTATCTTAGCTATTTATTATTCCATATACAATGTATTTTTATTGTGAAGTAGTTCAGTTTAACAGAAGTCCCTAAAAGTGCTCTACTCGAATTAATGTGACTAATAACTATGATATGAAGGAGCTTTCTATTCATTCCAGTGCAATTTTTCAACCATTTTAATGCTGCAAACACCCTTGTGTCTACATTCAGGGACTTTTATAGACGCAATGCTCATTGGTTCAAAGTCTGAGTGGTGCAGTTGGATTGGGCAATAGAGAACAGATGGCTGCCGATTGGTCAATGTAAGTGTAAATCAATAGAAAGCAATGTAATCAGGGTTTTTTTAAAGGCAGATTAGCTGCAATAGATATCTTTAATCTACCTGGCTGGGATGCATCAACCGAAAGCATGGAAAACAGCCAAGCTGAGGAATCCTGCTGACCTTCAGCTCAATGTCACTGCACGCATGAGCATTCTGAGGCAGGCCAGATAGAAATGGTTTGAACATATCATTTAAAGGTGTTATCTCACTTCTGTGAATTTAATCAGTCCTGGTGGTGTGTATATGCAAAAATTATGCAAAATAGCCTTTGACAGACATTTAACATTCCAGAAATGCTTATTAATATACTGTTAAAATTAAATGAAGATCATTAAATATTTTCATCTTTATCCAACAAACCTCCATATTGCATGCAAAAGTTGGATGTTTTAATGTTTATGAAAAAATCCCTTATGCTCAACAAGGCTGTTTGTTTGATCAAAAACACAGTAAAAATTAATATTGTAAAATATTACAATTTAAAATAGCTGTTTTCTGTATTTTAAAATGTAATTTATTCCTGTAATGGCAAAACTGAATTTGACTTACTCTTCAGTGTCCTTTGGTAATCTTTCGAATTTACTAATTTAGTGCTCAAGAAAAATTTATTATTATTATTACATTTTTTTTTCAAGATTCTTTGATGAATAGAAAGTTCCAAAAACATATTTTGTAACAAATGGCTTTAATGTGTTCTTGCTGTATAAAAGTATTAATTTCTTTTAAAATAAAAATCTTACTGATCCCAAACTTTTGAATGGTAGTGTACATAAGCTAAGAACTGAGGTGTGATTATATTAAAAATCAACTTCCAAAAGAGTTTTGAATGAGTAAGAATTTTTGGTTTCCTGTCTGCGTTCATTAAATAGTGCTGATTTGGCCTCTGCACAGAGCTTCAGAGAGGTAATTGAGGAGGAGAAGGAGGAGGAGGAGGAGGAGGGGACAAAGAAAGGATTAAATGCTTTTAAGAGCGATGCAAATGAGACATTTGAAGAGAGAGAAGGGGTGATTTTGACAGCTCCCTGTCAGGAGGGCTTGACAGAAAACACAGCTATGGGGAGAGACTTTGTAGGCTGTTAGCCTTCGGTGTAAGATAAAATGATCTGAGAAAAGGACTTCAGTATTCTAGTAGTGCTTTGTGAGCTTCTCAAGGTGACAATTAGCACGACATGCTGTTATAGCTGCTCCTTTGTTCTGCTTTAGCATACATGCAGTGTTGTTTTTCGTCCATCAGTATTCTACCCAATGCTTTGTATCTATAAAAACGAGCGAGCTAAAGGCAAAATATTCTGCCTTAGACCCTCTATGACATCAGCGTTTGTCTCACCCTGTCAAAATGTGATTGGTGCACACTACGTTGCACTCCCTGAACCGGGGAGAAAAAAAAACAGTCTACAGGGTTGAGGGGGAAAAACACCGCCATCATGAATACTCATCAGATGCAGACTCAGGCTTTATTCGGAGATGAGTTCTCTCTTTATCAAATCGAAAAAATTTTGTAAAAGAATTTGTAAAATATTTAAAAGAATATTTCAAAGTGAAAACTCTGCCTTTGCTGACCAGCATACCAGTTGTTATGCTAATGCTAATGCTAAGTTGAACACTAAACATCATGCAAAATATGTGTTGTACCTTCAATGAGACAGTCAATCAATCGCAAAAAAGGGTGTGGTCGGGCTGGGCCTTCTGGGATACTAGAGAGAAACAGAAAGATACAGGTTAACATGACACAAACAGCAACATGTTATGTGATTTCTGACAAAGCAGGCGGTAGAGGCAGCGCAAACAGCATTGAACTACACTAGAAGTCAAGCAGTGTGGAGATGACATTATCTTCTCAGCATGGATGTCTCTCCATGAGCCCACAGTTAAGCTCCTAGGTGAGCTTACTGTACACAGGAGACTATAGTTAAAGCTGTGTTTCTAGTAAAAACATAGCTCAGACTCACAACGGCAAGGCAACAACCTCACACTTACAGGAGCAGTATATCATTTCCTTCACAGCAGGTGGTCTCTTAAATCCAGGAAATCCAGAAGGTTCTCATTAGCAATATATAGAGAAGACCGGAGGTCTGTCTGAAACAAGCTGCAAAGGTCCAAATTCTGGTAACATATTCATGCAAAATTCTTACACAATACTACAGCTATACGGCAGATAACAAAGTGTGGGGTCAGTAAAAGACATTTTTGAAAGAATTATAGGAGTAATTATATTTGTTAAATACAAAATACCAAAAGTAAAGAGAGTACATTCAGTGGACAAGTGAAGTAGCAGACATACGATTGTTACATTTCTGGACACCAGAATGAACATCAATTCTCAGCATTAAAGGTTTGATTAGTGTTAATATTGCCTAGGAACAAAGACCATAGTGAATGTAAAAAAAAAAAAAAAAATCATAATGAACTGAACAGAACATTATGTTACTGAAAGATTTGGTTTAGTTGAGTTACAAGTTACATGAAGACTGAAGCATTTTGTTAATTCATATTCATTTGTATATAGATACTGCCGTGTAAAAAAAATAAAAAAAATAATAATGAACTGAACAGAACATTATGTTACTGAAAGATTTGGTTTAGTTGAGTTACACTGAGACTGAAGACTGAAGCATTTTGTTAATTCATATTCATTTGTATATAGATACTGCCGAATGTATCATGTAACAGAGCAAAATTGGAGACTGCTTTAAAGGAGACAGTAAAAACAAGCACTTGCATAAACAGTGTTTTGTTTCACAAGGCAATCTACAGGACAACATGAAACCAGAAATAAATGCTAACCAAAATTCATTTCCTGGGAAAACAAAACCACTTCAACACTACATCAAAATAATGGTGCATTAGGGTGATATATATTAAGGGCTAAACAAACACAAACAGACAGACTGATAGAAAGACTTTAAAACATAGTGCCGCATAAATTATTCAGCCAGAACAATAAGTCATAGATTTCGAAGGGGTCCCTCAAAGTACTCCAGGGGGTCTGTGAAGAAGACAGGCTATAATAATAATAATATAAAAATAAATAAAAAATACAAATACAAATCTGATAAGCATTAAATAATGAACTAATATAAGTTGATTCTCTTAAAAAAAAAAAAAATCTTACTGACTTATTTTAAATCTTACTGACTTACTCTTGTTTAGTACAGGTTAGACAATTTATGATCACGCATTTACTTCTAGTTAAGGTGCTAGACAAGAGTCTGATAAATGTATGTGATCGAATTCCATATTGTTCAATTTTGTTGTCAACCATGACAAGGAGAGCCGTCAAGGAAAAACATCATGTGATCAATGTAAGCAAATACTGGATGTTGTGGATGTGATGCGACGCCGTCCAATAGAATGAATGGACTCAAATAGCGTCCAATCAGAGGAGAGCTCGGGCTTGATATAAAAACCCCAACAAAGTCGCTTATTTCTGTGGACACCATTATCAGTCTTTGTGTGGGTTCTGGTGGACTTTAGGAAGGATTAATTCCGCTTTCCCAAAGAAAATCAGTATAAGGTATGGATTTTGTTTGAGATCATTAAATCAAGCCTTTATTATTATAATATTCCGAAAATATGATCTGATGACACTGCCAGATCAATTTACAAAAACATACATTTGTGAGGTGTATTAATGATTAAAGTATTTTCAGGAATGCATTGGCATTCAAACATAATCGCGTATTTAAGCTCTGTTGGCAATTTGCAATGCGCCGTTTATGTTTGCCTAAATTCTTTAAACGTGTCGAGAGCTTAGTAATGTCAATACAAAGACATTTAAACGCTTTAAATGATACGCTGGCCAAAAGATCGCAGATACGTGCATGACAAGGTGCTTTTGTCCCAAACATCAGCAACGACCTTGCAGTCAGCCTCCTTTTCAACAAGGTCTTTGGAGACGTTGCGCATTACGCATTAGCATGCTTCAGAGAATAATAAATGATTCCCATGCAAGACCTTCATAATGCACGTTAGACATTGCGTAACGTGCATAATCTGCATGCATTTGAACGCATTTTGTAATGACGCGTCATTTATCAGACGCGCGCTCCACATTCCATTTACTGCCAGCATGACAGAACACGTCACCGAGCACATCTGTCGTCACACCACGACCGTTTGCTGCTGTAACGGTTCAAGCGATTTGAAACCAATTCCTCCGTTATGAAAAATGCTGTTTTTCTGTTTAATGCTGTTACGTCATTAATGCAGCTGAGGGGCTGGCTTTGTCCTCGTGCTTGAATCGGATTTGAACTTGCCTTTTAACGTGTCCTTGTTTGCAAATATCTGCACCAGGTAGGCGCAACCATGCCTTTCGGTAACACTCACAATCAGCTGAAGATGAACTACATCGCTGAGCAGGAGTATCCCGACCTCAGCCAGCACAACAACCACATGGCGAAGGTGCTGACGCTCGAGATGTACGCAAACCTGCGGGACAAACAGACCCCGAGCGGATTTACCGTGGATGACGTCATTCAAACCGGAGTTGACAACCCAGGTAACGTTAAGTGACCGATGTTCAAGATGGCAATGCACCTGTGTTTCAACTGGCGCTCGGGTGCAGGGTGATCAAATATCCAAGGATTTGATTTGCAAACGAGTTTTGCGGCTCTTAGTCCATGTGTGTTAGATCTGAGCTCCTCTAAATGCTAGTTTACTTCTGAATGTCAGTAAACATGTACTTTTAGCAGAAAGTGTCCAAAAATATTACTCATCCTGCACTGCTCTATTTTTGACCAATCATATGTGCTCTAGAACAAGAACGTCCCTCCCCCTAATACCACCTGCAGCCAACTACCAAGCTTTATTTATACTCGCTAAGTTTTCACAAATCTACCATGAATAAAGAACAAATGCAAATTTTCAGACTCCAATATAGTACACATAATTGGCGATTTTACTGATTATAAAACAAATAATTGCATCTTGACAAAGTAAATTAAAAAGTTGCACTTTCAAGTTGAAATGGCTTGAATATATTTCTAGCTGGCTGGTCTTTGAAAAATAAATTGAGCTAGTAAAATAATGGTTCCTGGCTGTGCTGTAATGAATCACTTTGCTAATAATAGACAATTCAGTGGGTCTCTAAACACTTTGCTAGTAACATATTAAACAATTTATGTGTAATGGATGAAATTTTAAATGACAGCATTCATGCCCATGTGATAAGCGTGTAGCTTAATAATTAGATGTTAAAAGCAGGACAAAAATAAGCTTGAATATCAGTTCTGCATCTCTACTATGGAAAATGGGGATTTTGCACAGATATTTAAGTGCTTACAAAAAGCGTGCATTGACTATTCAAAGTTCAACAATTCAACCTAATTGCACTCTGCCTCTACATTCTGATTTGCATCCTTCGCACAGTGCTGCTTCCTCATGCCTGCTGCTGTAATCCTGCTGGCTAATGCATGTGATGCAGGCGATGTCCATCAAATTGGCATCGGACGATGTCTACAGTGAAACATTGAGATGGACGATGACATTGCGAAGGAGGGAGGGAGGGGGTGACTTTGTGCTGGGTGAATGTTGAGACCGAGCGAGTCAAGTAGGTGATACTGCGCATGTGTCGAGCTCGTCTGTCCGTGCTCAACATCGTGATGTCTGTCAGCCATCGGTTATGGACTACGGCATCGTCTATTGGCCCGACCCTATTATGCACTATTTATTTTCCCTCATGCATTTGACTCCGCAAAAACTGAGAGAAAGTTGCAACGACAATCTATGGTGTAATATTGGTGAAGCCCAACAAAAGAGGAATTGTGTGTTCTTGAATCTCATGATTACTGCAAGACCAACCATGTGATAAACATGACGTGTGGCTATATTAAGCTGTTGCTTGTGACAATCTGTTTGCCATGAATGATGAAGCATTTATATAGCGTTTTGTGTATTGCTGTACACCCAAAGCACTTTACAATCATGAGGGCCATTAGCGTTAAAGTTTCCCAAAATGTTTTGCATTGTCACCACCACGGCATATTGAAGTACTGCTGATCTTTTGTGTTCCAGGTCATCCTTTCATCATGACGGTGGGCTGCGTTGCTGGAGATGAGGAGACGTATGAAGTGTTCAAAGATCTCCTGGACCCCATCATTGAGGACCGCCATGGGGGATACAAACCCACAGACAAACACAAGACTGACCTGAACCCAGACAACCTCCAGGTACACCGCGACTCTGTCTGGTGCATCTAATTGGCTTAAACATTTTAAAATAGTCGGCTGTTAATTTAGTGGTGTTTTTAATAGGGTGGAGACGACCTTGACCCCAACTATGTTCTGAGCTCCAGAGTGCGAACTGGCAGGAGCATCCGTAGTTTCTGCCTCCCTCCTCACTGCAGCCGTGGGGAGAGACGGGCCATCGAGGGTCTGTCCGTTGAGGGTGAGCTCGTCTAGGAACTTGTTTTCATAGGCTGTACATGATTCATGATTGGTCGTTCAAGAGGAGTGGGCGGAAATGAGTGATTGAAGCATCCACTCTGTAATGATGCAGTTGTGTTGTGATCTATCCTGCGGTTTTCACAGCTTTGGGAGCCCTTGATGGTGATCTTAAAGGAAAGTACTATGCCCTCAAGGACATGACCGAGGAGGAGCAGCAGCAGCTGATTGATGACCACTTCCTATTTGATAAGCCTGTGTCCCCACTGCTGCTGGCCTCTGGGATGGCCCGTGACTGGCCCGATGGCAGAGGGATCTGGTGAGTGAGTGCAGCCTTTTGGGTCAATTACTCTTTTCTTCATCATATAAAGAAATGTATGTATTGATTTTTTTTGTTTTCTTTTTCTCTATGGATATTTATTTATTATTATTTTAATGGGTAATTCCAGCTTGAAATGAAAAGTCGTGTTGGTATAGTTTGTATATTGTTTTATATCCAAAATAGATGCATTTAGGTGCCATTTTTAATATTAAAGAATAACATCAATTTTATAATACATTTTTATCCATTTATTAAGATTTGTTTCAATAAATACATAATTTTTAAAAATGAAAGAACGTTTATAATTTTAAAACGTTTGTAGTGGCAATACAATTTTAATTTGAGTATTCCAACTTGATATGAAAATAGCCATGTTGATGCTATTTTATAGATTTGTATTATGTTGTATTTTATATTACAAAGTGGATACATTGGGTGCCATCTTGGCTAAAATATTAAAGTTTATTATACAGTATATCCAGTGTAAATATTATTTGGAGATTCCATCTTGAAATGAAAACGTTGGAGCTGATTAATTACTCACCCTCATGTCGTTCCAAACCCATTAGACCTTAGTTCATCTCCGGAACACAAATGAAGATATTTTTGATGAAATCCAAGCACTTAATGACCCTGCATAGACGGCAACGGATCTACCACGTTCAAGGCCCAGAAAGGTAGTAAGGACGTTGTTAAAATGGTCCATGTGACATCAGTGGTTCAAGCGTAATTTTATGAAGCTACGAGAATACTTTCTGTGCGCAAAGAAAACAAAATGACTTTATTCAACAATTTCTTCTCTTCAGTGTCAGTCGATGCGTGTTCACGAGGAGTTCTGACGTAGAATCCGGATGTGCTGTACCTTGTTTTCAAGCAGAGGAAGGTACACATGCGTTGTGGTACTCTTGTGAGTGCACGGTGGAGACTGACACCGAAGCGAAGAAATTGTTGAATAAAGACGTTATTTTTGTTTTCTTGGCACACAAAGCATTCTCGTAGCTTAAAATTACGGTTGAACCACTGATGTCACATGGACTATTTTAACAATGTCCTTACTACCTTTCTGGGCCTTGAACGTGGTAGTTCCCTTGCTGTCTATGCAGGGTCAGAAAGCTCTCGGATTTCATAATTTGTGTTCTGAAGATGAACGAAGGTCTTGCGGGTTTGGAATGACATGAGGGTGAGACAACAAGACATTCCTGGTCTGGGTGAATGAGGAAGACCACCTTCGTGTTATTTCCATGCAGAAAGGGGGCAACATGAAGGAAGTCTTCACTCGCTTCTGCACAGGCCTCACAAAGGTCGGTTTTTAAGCAATCTGAGACCTTCAACATTGCGAGCAGCTCCAGTGTTTGCACATTGTTAAATCCAAACCTGCTTGTCTTGCAGATTGAGGAGTTGTTCAAAGAGAAGGGCCATGAGTTCATGTGGAACGAGCACTTGGGCTACGTCCTAACCTGCCCCTCCAACCTGGGCACAGGGTTGCGTGGTGGCGTTCATGTCAAACTTCCTAACCTCAGCAAGCATGAGAAGTTTAGTGAGATCCTCAAGCGGCTGAGGCTCCAAAAACGTGGAACAGGTATATATTCACCAGAGCCATAAAAAAAAAAGTTACCTGTACAGAATGCCATCTCCAATACTAAACTTGCTCTCGTCTCCAGGTGGAGTTGACACTGCTGCAGTAGGCGGTGTCTTTGACATCTCCAACGCAGACCGTCTGGGCTTCTCTGAGGTTGAGCTGGTTCAGATGGTGGTGGATGGAGTTAAGCTGCTTGTAGAAATGGAGAAACGCTTGGAGGCAGGCCAGTCGATCAATGACCTTATGCCTGAGCAGAAGTGAACACTTCGTGACTCCTAACTTAACTTCTTCCCTGCCTCCACCAGTCCTCCCTTCCTCCAGTACCAATAATCTTAACTACATCAAGGAACATGCACTCCACGCAAATGGTAGTGGCACTAAAGTTAGACGAGTCTTCCAACAGTGTGAAGGATTTTGTATCCCAAACGTCCTGCAATGTTGAAGATGGAGCTTAACCCCAGAAATAAAGTCTCTTTGGCCCATGGATTTTTCTGTGTGCATGTTATTTCTAAAAGATCTACTAAATTTGATTGCTGTAGTTTTGAATCCATTTCATTTACTACTGTTATGCATGTGTCCAGTTGCTAGAAAGCAAAGGCCCTGTTGTATGGGTGGTGTTCTAGCTGTTATTTTGGAAGCTTATTTTGTGTTTACAGACCTTTCTAATGCGTCTTTGATTTGGTGGTGTATATAACCTGTAGGATAATCCCTGTGCTTTAAGGTTATTTTATAGGTGGACTAACAAGGTCATTATTTGCTTTAGAGAAACCATAATCTCAAGGGATTTTTTTTTTCTTTTTTTCCTCCAAGAGACTGTAGTTCTCTCTTCCAAAAGAACTGTACTTGTATATTTATATGCGCTTGTTTTGATAGTTTTTCCTTTTTAATCCTGGTTTTATTCTGCGTTGAGAAAACAAGCATTTTCGGAAACCATAATTTAAATTTACGTTACAGACATTCACTATAGTAGTTTACATGTTTAGTCAACACTGAACTTGGAGGAAATTCAGTATTTGTCTCAGACGTTAGTACAACGAAGGTAAACTTTTAGCTATTTTAATTGCATGTACATTTTAAGTAGTAAGGTAACACTTCCAACATTGAAACATCCTAATAATCTCTGTAAAATAAAAACCCTTATCCAGTAATAAAAAAAAACACTGATTGGTCAAGCCTGACAGCGCAGAGAAAAGTAACAAGCACCATGTCACAACAACTTCGGTCCCCGTCAGTATAATGCTTTTTTATTTATTTTATCTGAATGGTAACGGAAAAGCTTTGGTTATTCAATTTGAAATACAGTGAAAAATCTTAATGGTATAATTATTTCGACCCTCAAATTCTGTAAGCTTAGATGGATAGTTAAAGTGGACTGTTTCAATACTCTTCTCTCCCCCCCCATATTTTTCTCTGTAATTTTAATAGTGAGATGTGGAATAGTGATACCTGAGTGCAAGGCTGAATTTGATGTGCCCCAAATATAGTGCTTTGCTTTTAACTGAAGAACTTTGATCTCATCTTCCATCATATACTTCCTATCAGCTGGCAATGGTTGTTGCGGTCAATTGGCTTTTTTTAGGCCACTAAAAGAGCATTGAACCAGATGTTAAAATCAATTTATCAATCAAAAACCAAGGGAGAGACTGAGCAATGAGCATAACACAAAGTAGACATGATTTCTGGCTACGACTCATTTCTTTTTATTGTGCACATGTATAGAACACAAGGTGCAAGTCACTGTATTTCACAGAAGCCCACACGGGCAGTTTAGTCTAACAGCATCGAGTCAAGCATGTCTCCTCTCCCATCCCCATCACAGTATTTACAAGATTAAACTCCACAATAAAGCTCTTCACTGCCTCAATGGCAGAATATAAAAATCATTTCACATGACTAAAAACTGGAGTGGAGTGGAATGGGCTGGTATAATAAAGAAACATGAAAAAAAGAAGTATAAAATATATGTAAATGCAGAGAAAATTTTCAGCTGAATTCATCGGAGCCATGGCACTCCAACCAAACCCTCTACAGCCAAAAAACTGACAAAAACGTATAGCGTCAGTCCCTGTAGGCTAAATATTTACTGATTTTATAATGATGGTTCTGATGGTTCATCTTAATCTCTCTACACACTTCATACACTCTCTTCAAAACACTCTCATGCTGTGAAAAACACTTCTCAGCACTTCACACTTTGAAAAATCACACTCGTACATAAAATTATACACTCATACACAAACACTCTCAGTTATATGCGCCTTTATGAATCATATACATGCCCATCAGGATATGGGATTCCTCAGTCATATATCAGAATAATTGTTCTATGCAAACTATGTATATTTTGTTCTCTGCTCTCATATACTTCCAGTTTATACACTCGTTTTGTAGATGAACTATAAAATTCAAGCACAAGTCCTTTGTTTTAAACTTACATAACAGCTCTCATTCATCCAGTTCAATTCAAAGTATACAGAATCTCTCTCTGACAAAGAGCACCATCTGCCCTGGTCTTCTCAGCAAAGCATCATGGGTAAGCGACTACAAATAAAGAAAAGCTCTTGTCAAAGCGATTGATCCCCAAGGTGTGATGTACAGCTATAATACATTTTACATGGATACAAGAGAGCGTGTGAGGAGTGGAGTGGGAGATCCGGAGGCCTGGTAGCAGAGCAGACGGGGGCAGACCGAGAAACCTGATATTGCTTGTTTGGCCTGGTGTTCACTGGAGAGTGTGTAGTGCAGTTAATTGTGCCTCCAGGTTCAGGGTTTAGCAGCTTCACCCCTTCTATGGTCCAAGTGGCACATAGAGGTGAAAGATGGAGGTTCAACACCTCGAGACATCAGTCCAGGCGGTCACCCACGAGATGGTTACGCCAGAGACCTCTGACGTGGTTTTATTCTGGGGTAAAGCTACGGAGAAACAAAAAGACACAACTATTAATATCATTTCACAATATGCACTGCCTTTCAAAAGTTTTGTTTTTTTTTGGAAAGAAATTAACACTTTTATTCAAGAAGGATGCATTAAATTGATCAAAAGTGAAATATTTATAATGTTACAAAAGAATTCTATTTCAAATAAATTCTGATCTTTTGAACATCAAAGAATCCTGAAAATAAAGCTTGAAAGAAATGCTTCTTGAGCAGCAAATCAGCATATTAGAATGATTTCTGAAGGATCACGTGACACTGAAGACTGGAGTAATGATGCTGAAAATTCAGCTTTGCATCACAGGAATAAATGACATTTTAAAACATACTCTGCTGCTATATCCCGTGTGTGCACCTACCCCTAATAGGTTACGTGGCACATAGCCCTCTTTGTCATTGAGTTTACTCCACCACCACTCTGTCTCGGTATCGTCCTTCCTGCGTAGGACAGTAATGGCGTCACCCTCCTGAAAGGAAAGCTCATCTGCGCTCTGAGCCTCATACTCCCACAGCGCGTACACGACTCCCTTATTCATCACTCCCAGCTTTTCCTGCACACCTGTAAACACACAGAGAGAAAAAGGTCTTAATAAGGCATGGAAATATCTCATTTGGTATGATATTATGGCATTAACATGAGCACCACACAAAAAAATTGTTACATTATATTGGTGAGTACCGAGTAATACTATTGATCAACGTACATTACGGTTTAAAAGTTTGGGTCAGTAAGATTTGATTTATATTTATACAAAAAGTATCATGCTCACCAAGTCTGCATTTATCCAATCAAAAATATAGTAAAAACAGTAATATTGTGAAATATTAAAAAGACTGCTTTCTATCTTAATGTACTTTTAAAAGTAATTCATTCCTGCAATGGTAAAGCTGAATTTTGAACTCCAGTCTTCAGTCACATGATCCCTCAGAAATCATTCTAATATGCTGATTTGCTGCTCAAGAAACATTTCTTATTATCAGTGAAAACAGTTGTGCTGCTTAATATTTATGTAGAAAATCTGATACTTTTTCAGAATATAATAGTTCAAAAGAACAGCATTTATTTGAAATAGAAATCTTTTGTAATATGTCTTTACTGTCACATTTTATCAATTTAATGTGTCCTTGCTGAATAAGAGTATCTATTTCTTAAAAAAAAAAAAAAAAAAACATCTTACTGACCCCAAACTTTTGAATGGTAGTGTACTAAATATGTTAATGGGACTTTTGGAGAATTCTTACATCGATTATGCCTAAAAGCCCGACAATGGGCACATAGTGATGGGAGAAGTCAGGCTTTTTAAATCTTTGAATCAAGTGATTCCTGTTTCTAAGAGCTCTAAACTCTGTACTTTGGGGACATCTGCTGGTTATAGCAGTGTAAATGCAATGAAAACTCAAAAACGTTCAATGACATTTTCTACCAAGAAATCTATATCATCACTAACTATCAAAGAAAAATGATCTGTATATGTAGTTGTTTATTCATTTGTAGCTTTATTTGTGTTTGTAAAAAAATGTTTTTTTTCTTTCTTTAAATAAGCTATTTAGTTTGATATTGTCATCTTACACAGATATTTTCATAGATTAAGTGAGACTAGAGTCTCTCAAAATTAGTAACTTTCATTTAGATCTGATCCTAAAAATTGCCTTCACTTTCCCATACGATTCATTAGAGTTCTCAAAATGGATGGTATGTGAGGACAAATAATTATTCTGAGCCCCACAGAGGAAAAGAAAGGCACTCTTACCATAGAGAAACTGTGAGCACTGTATATAACCCTCCTCCATCTCCTCACATTTGTCTGCTGCCGTCTCCACATCACTGATAGTGGTGGCAAAGATGGCAGCACCAGACTCCACCAGCAGCTTACACAGGTGCACGCTGTTACAGGAGGCGGCACAATGCAAGGGTGTCCTACACATAGACACACGACGTCAGTGGGTCCGTCTACTCAACAGCTGTTAGCTTGAATAGACTGATCAATCTCTTTCACACTGACAGATCCAACAAAGTGTCCTCACCAGCCATCACTGTCTGCTGCATTCACATTAACACCAAAGTCCAGCAGGAACTTGACGATGTGATGGTGCCCGGCACAGACTGCGTTATGGAGAGGTGTGATGCCCTCATCATTAGGGGTGCTGGGATTTTCAACCTACGAAATGAGAGGAATTAAATAAGAATTTGTTAATGAAAATGGGCAAAATAAAGCAGTGTGTAAAGTGTTCACATGGCATACATGTTATTATACACACCTCATAGATTATCCTTTGTACAAGGTCAAACTCGCCCTCCAGTGAGGAATCCAGCAGCAGAGCGAGTGGGATGAACTTCACTCTAAGGCCGTGACCCGTCCGCTCTGAGTCGGGTTTCTTTAGGTTCGTGCGTTTGCCCTGTTGAGGACATGGACCATTAGGCTTTGTTCACACAGCACACAATCTGATTTGCTTTTCGCTGCTCAAGAAACATTTCTTATTATCAGTGAAAACAGTTGTGCTGCTTAATATTTATGTAGAAAATCTGATACTTTTTCAGAATATAATAGTTCAAAAGAACAGCACTTATTTGAAATAGAAATCTTTTGTAATATGTCTTTACTGTCACATTTTATCAATTTAATGTGTCCTTGCTGAATAAGAGTATCTATTTCTTAAAAAAAAAAAAAAAAAACATCTTACTGACCCCAACAATAATGGATTTAATTTTTATATTAAGCAGTATTTTAATATTTTTTTTAGCTTTCTTGACCAATCAGAATCCATGAACTGTCCGTTTTGAAATAGTGAGAGTGTTAAAGGGGTCATATGACGTTGCTAAAAAGAACATTATTTTGTGTATTTGGTGTAATGAAATGTGTTTATGCGG